AAGAAATTCTGCCACAGACCAAACATAGAAACATGTTCAAGAAGTCGTCGATTGAATTCCGAGTTGCAGCAGTCTGTTGGTAGTCTTAATTAGGAGTGTGAAGACCCGAACTACGATTCTATTCGCCATTAGACCGTTTGTCCCGGATCAACTTTTTGAAAATGTTACCAGGATAGCCTCTATTGCGGGGGATAGAACCGACTTGCTGTATTCGACACACCATCCAGGCATCGGAAAATGCGTTTGCTTACTTAGTGTTCGGACGAAGGCTGCATCTAAAATTGACACTAATATAAGATTTGGAGGTTTTTAGTCGAAATTTAATCGTTTAATCCAAATCAATGTGTGCCAAGAAGACTAGATTAAACGACCATGCATTTCGTGAAACTCCGGAAAGATTCCAACACGTGAATTGCCAGCTGGTGGTTAGAGGCTATGTTTTAATATTCCTCCTTGATAGAAATGTACAGGTCCTATCGTGTGTTGGAGACACGAAACAAATGCAGGTCGGATAAAGTCCTTGAGTTCTGTGTAGCTGCTTGGTGCAAAATACGGCGTTTGAAATTTCTCAACTTGGCCTCCCTTGAAAATACAGGAATACGAGTTCAAACGGTGACTCAGGCAAGCAAGCAACTGCTTACTATCATACCCTCGCTCGATATTGTGGAGGACTTCGAGTTGACCAAAAAAAAGCGCAACGTAACATGCTGCCGGGATGATAATAAATCACAGTTTACTGGATTATAGATTGACTTTCTCTTTACGAACGAATTCATTATGAAAAGCCCCATAAGTTTACAAGGCATCAAGCTTTTGCATTCTACGGCATCAGCCCAGCTGCCGCTAAAGCGATCACGTATGACACAAGTCAGAAATATTCTCTGATATGAGGAGGGATTCCAGTATGGTTGACATCCGGAAACGCTTTCGCCTTATCCGTCGGGCTTCAAGTCAACCTTGGGCCTGACTTAGCCTGCCAAGCCACGCATCGTGTGTCCATCCTAGTTAACATACTGTAGACACCGTATATCATAGACCGCAAGCCTGCAAATTGAACAGAGGCAGTCATGTGAAGCGTCAATGTGGGCCTTGAAAATGGAACAGTAGCAGAAATTTCCAACTAACGACCATTTGCAGAATACGGTGGTATGGAAGCAGAGATTTTGTCGATCCAGAAAGTTGGTAATCTCGATCTCCAGACACACTCCGTTGCCAAAATTGTAATTAAAATGCCGTGGAAAACAGGGGATTCGAAAAGCAGGATATACGGAAACACTCATTATGGGGTCTACCACTGTGGTTCTGATCAGCTGGACTAAAAGGGTCTGATAAACCAATGAGAAAATTCTGAGCAAATAAGAAAATAAGGTGATATCATAGTGCCCAATCATAAAGAGTCAGGGGATGACATCAATCCGTAGTGGACGCTGATTACATTGGCTTACCTGTCCATCATCGACCTAACATAGTGCAATAAAATGGTGGAAACTGAGACCGAGTTCTTTTGTTTGGAGAGTTAACCTTGCTGTGTTTGTTGTGGGCGACTGAAATCAACCGGTATTGGATGGCCAGGATCGTCGCATGGCCATACAGACGGGTCTACCAGACGAACAGTGCGGAGTGAAGAAACTACAGTTTCTCCGACACAAGGACGACCAAGAAAATACCGATACTACTTCAAACACTGCGGCTCAATTTTCTCGCACGCTCCTTGAGCTAATCCACTTGGAGCGAAATAGTGTCCGACCTAAAACGCACTAAGAATGTGGACCCGATGTGGCACCACACCGCAATAAACAGATCATTGACCCGACAGAATGCAATTTTTGCGCACTAATTCAAGAAAATGTCTCGCTGTTGTAATCGTAACAGGCATATCTCAGAAAGCCCACACACTTGACCTATACTGCTTCACTCACTTGCTGTCTGCATTATTTTACGCCTACTCACTTTGACAGTAGGTACATATCGACTGCATTAGCCCTTATTCATGGCCGACCATCTGAACAAACTCCATAGTGAGATGTATGGCATCGGCAGACTGCTAAATGCACTGCAGACAGGAAGTTAGGAAAGCGATATTTTAGTAAACTACGACTATTTGCGCATTCTCTCATTGACAACCAAGCTTTCTTTCGTCGAACAGCTAAGTACTACCAGCACAAGTTTGGGATGACCTCACCGGAACCTCACCAGACATGAGCCGGGCACACAACAGACGAACTGTAACTAGGCAGCCCGGTTACGAAATGACAGCGTGCGCACCTCTGGAATCGGTTGTGTGCCATATCCTTTATGGTTTCCCACCATTAGCAAGCAGGATCACGCGGGCGCCATCCTGGAAGCTGTGAGGAATCTACGACAAGCAGTTTCATTGACCCGCGTTGCCATGTCCCTCGCAAAGTGCGTTAACAATGACTTGACATAGGAAAGTGTTTCCTTCAGCGTGGTTGGACACATGCCCCAACTATCTCAACCTGGTAAGTCTAATCTGCTCTAGCTATTCGGATTTGTGACTACAACCCACCCACCCACAACTTCGTTACGCAATCACTGCAGCCAGATAACTCATGGTATGCTCCGGTGATCAAATCTTTGAAGACGTCTGAATTCCTCTGGTGGGAGAGGGGGCAAATCTCAAAACCAAGGAGCACGACCGTTCGTGTTTAGACTGATCTTTAACTTGAGCTCCTATTCGATTCCGACGGCAATAATGACTCAGCATGGGCGCTGCTCGCACCTTGATTATTCACGCATTAACATCAGTGAATTATCACTTAACTGGATCGGTTGAGTGATCACGAATGAATCAATCGTTTCACATCGACTAATTTGGTTGTGCCAGACTTTAGCCTCACGTTTTGGTAACACAGATAGACAAGATATTCCTGTGCGCTTCTTTGACGTCTTGAAGAAAGATGCTTGAAAACGGGATGCAACCAATCTTGCCATTATCAGTTAAATATGATGACTCTGTACAAGTGTTTTCACAAATCGCCGAGAATCCAGCGATATGTGTTAATTCATGAAAAAGCTCCGGTCTCCGCACCCCTAACTGAAACCATCGTTGCATAGCAATCGTGAACCGAGGATGTCATCAAACTGAACTCCTATGGCAGATCATCCCATATTGTGGTAATACATTCGTTCATCGACGTTCGAAGAACGATAAAGGAGTGCTTACGATCGCACATCCGTGGAATAAGCGCAAATCTCATAAATAAAACCACTCACAAGGTTGCTGAAAACTCTTGGACAGCCCACGCCCGGTTTCGCCCTTCTTGGGGCTCACCAGGTAGGCGCAGTCCACGAGGTTCCGTCAACCTTATGATCTCCTTGAACCCAAATTGCACTGTTTTCGAGAAATACACTCATTTGCAAATGTCGTTTATAATTAGGGGGTCAGAAAGTCATTGGTCCTGCAAACTTTTGCCCGGCTGAATGATCAGGCCGCTAAAAGGACGAAAACAGCAGGATATAAACCGACCATCTGTGGGCTAACGTATGCCCTCGTAGCATCCACTGATAATCATCATGAATGAGACGAAACTCCGGATTCGTTCTGAGAACTCCCTATTGTGAACATGGCTTCCATAATCACCCATAGTTTTATCTTCCGTTGCACCGGAACAGCGACTAAATTCCATGTTCGAAAGGATGAGTAAAAAACAGAGGTGCTGTTTATGTAAATTAGGGGCGAATTTTTAATATTATTACTGCGTCAGTAATATTTTCACCTACCACATTTCAACACTTGTCATTCACAGCTATTAAAATCCCAGCAACTTGTTTGCCTCCGGTTTTGTGATGTGAGTTCGTTGATGAGACGTTGTAACGTGCGTAAACGCTCAAAAGTAAGTCACTTCGCTACAACGAGGGGCAGAATGAATAGCTGGACCGAAAGGCGTCAGTATTTCACGAGAGCCTTCTATGATCACAGGAATCGCATCAATTTCGTCAAACGTAAGATATAACAGGTGGGGCGAATTTTCAAACCCAAAGATGGCTACTGTGTACTGTTGCGAAATGAGAACGTTCTTTCACAAAACCCTTTAAATGAAGTAAAAATGTCATTATCAGGTGGTTGAAGCCTCTGTTATACTTAATGCATTCAATTGTTAAGTAGTCTATCTACGCAATCGTTAGCAACATTTCTCTCACGAAGATACAACTTTCACGTAACGACGACTGTCAATTTCGTTGGTCTTCCTTAAAGTAGGCGAATGGTTAGGGTGCTTTACAACGAGGAATGATATCAGGGCATACACACAGGTAGCCGAAAGTGAACCTTTCAAGTCTATCAATGCAATATTTTATGACAGCAGGTAGGATACAGTAAAAACATTGCTGATTGACTGCTTGACATCGGAAGGATGAACGTTCAAAATACTAGCCGGAGGTCATGGGTTCGAAACTCCCAAGTCTTCCCATAATACCAACAGAGGGAAAATAGGCTCACACGATTGAAACCGAGAAGTCTTCAATCAAAACGTGGACGTGGTATGGATTCCGTGGTTGAAGCATGAGTGACGTTATGTACCGTCTGAGAGCGAGCTAATCACACTGCTGATCGGCCACTCGTGAGCGAACGGTCAAGTGATCGAACTAGTAGCCTGCAGACAGTGGATTCGACACTCCTTGGAGTTTTGTGAGCTTCGTACTGCTTAAGACTCCCAATAAGGACGAGAGAGCTGTAAAGTGCTCTTCAGCTTTTCAGCATAGATTTGATTCACTTACTGGAAAAAATATCAAATGGAAAATTGACAAATACTCGCACACTACCAACTAGCACAACAATCGTGGTGCACGGGACATAGCCAAACAAATGCTATCGTCTTTGGGCGACAGGTGGCTTTCAGTTAGTTCGAATCAATGACTGAAATCGAGTATGGGGTCAGTGAGCCCTCGAGAAGCTCGTTTCTTATGAATTCCACACTCTCGCCAAACAACGAATCGGTGCGGGTGCCAGGTACAATGGCTACCGCCGTAAAGTTTACATACTCGCGCAACATTCCCAGTGCACATTGTCTTGTTTTCAGTGAAAAGACTGACGCGCCATTCAATCTGGGTTCATAGCTGCTGGCCAAACATACACAGTAAACAAGCTGATTGCGTTAAAAAGCACAATGAAGTCTGATTGCAATACCATTTTCCTTTTGCTTTGGTTTAGGGAGCATGAGCGACGTACGGTGGTTTCCAAACAGCATGAATCCTCATGAGAATGTGTGAATTCTCAGTAATGACGTGCAGATTATAGAGTAATACAAAGTAAAATTATGCAGTAACAAAGCAAAACATAAGGGCATGATCTCAGTTAAGAGGATGAATTGATCAAGTTTATCCTGGATTCGACGCCCGCTGAGAAAGTGCTTCGGGCAACAGCCGTTTATAGATGTCATAATCTTCTTGTAAAAATACGCAAAATACTACGCGTTGGATCTGCAAGTAGAACATAGGAGAACGAGATTAGACACTATTGAAGTCGTTGGGTCACACACAAATACAAGACAATTTGCGTGCGTTTCATGGTAAGATCAATCGATTTCGGTATGGTTGTTACTCCTTAAGGATCTGAGCAGGCCATCGAACGGTTATTTTTCAAGGTTTAGCCCATAAGGGCATGTATCCAATCAAATCCTCAGGTCAGTCACATATTTTTTCTTTCTAAATGACATTATAAACAGTCACCTATATGCTGACTGAAAAACGACCAGTGTGGTAAGGTTGAGTTGCTTCAGAATCTAACAAGCAAAGGAAATAAATCTACGTATAGATATGCTTGCGCCGGTGAGAAAAACATCCAGAATTTTCGCGAAATACATTCGTTCGCTCACTAGTACGGTTTTACCGCGGGACACCCAAATGAACCTCAGATGAATATCTTGTTTATAACAGTCTTCAGCAGAATGTGCCGCCTGACGTTTCAGCTGGTACGATATTCAAGACATCGCAGGTTCAAGTAGAACATAAGGTTGACGGAAACTCAAGAACTGCGCTTACGTAGGCCCCAAGGAAGACAGAGCCCGTCGCGAACTGTAGAAGAGTTTTCAGCAACCTTACGAGTAGTGTTCAGTCAGACTTTTGTTCGACAGCAACTTAGTTTGACAGGGGGCAGCTACACCGTGAAGGCACTTATCACAAAGCCACAGTGTTGTTGATTCAGCACCGAAGAGTCACTGGAAGTATGTTAACGGTACGAGTGAAGCTACGTAGCTTTTGGCCTTTCGCCGTCAATGTCAGCTGATACACTCATTGATTTGCCGCCTGAAATACTGAGTCCACTTAGTCCGTCTAAGGAGAACAGTGAGAAATAGGAGATAGTATCATCCCACTTTTTCCATTGTCGGTCAACGCAAAACAGCACAGTAACGACATAGAACGAAGAGCGTAGAGTTGCGTAACGAACTGTAGAGAGCTGACTAGTTTCCCAGTTCACTTGCTTATAAACAAACAGCGGTCAGGTGAACAGATTGTCAGCTGATAAAACAACGAGGACTTGGTCGGGTTACACTGCAATCACAGCTGAGGTATGGAGGTGAGTAGGGCCACCACCCTCTTGTTTACAAAGTTGCCCAAGGACATCGTGAGACCCTGGTATTCGGGTTATCCACTACGGGGCATATGCATCTTTCGGCACACAGGCCTACTGACTAGGCAACGATGGGAACAGCAGCATCAGAAGATCTGATGAAATCGCAGAATTCAGGGGCGAAAACAGAGACACTGCAGTCTCAGTAGCTGGGGAGAATCAGGTTAAAGCCAAAAAATTACGCAAACGTCAAACGGCAGAAATAAACAATGGTTCACGGTCATGTGACATACATCTGTGTGTTGAGACAAATACGACAATACTGTAGAAATGGCCACTTTGGCAGCGGCTTCTTGGGGATAGTCTGAAAATGGGAAAGAGATGCCGACAATTACTCGAGAGCTTGGCATAGGACTTATACACATTCGTTTGCAATAATGCTTAAGAGCGCGCGATGTCCACCTCCCGAGCGGAAGATGCGTCAGATACGAAGCNTGTCCACCTCCCGAGCGGAAGATGCGTCAAATACGAAGCACCAACAACCCGCCTTAGAAACGACCACACCGCGCGTGACTTTAGAACGACTTTACTCCTACTAATACTACCACTACTATATATTAAAATGATTTCTATACGCAGGTACTTGTCGTTGAGTTGTAGGCCATAGAAGCGGGAATTTGTAAGCAAGGGTTCACCAATAAAATGGGATGGCTCACTGGTTAGGGCGCGGATTTACTGACAGGAGGGTCCGGAGTTCGAACCCGACCTCTGCCTCTCGACTTTCCTGTCTAGGCTTGCGCAACCTGGCTGTGTCCCAGCCCTCGTGCTTCCCTCGGGTGGCATGGCAGCTAGTCATCGAAAGGGTGTTCCAGCTGGACGACCACCAATAAAATGCACGTTAAAAGTTATCAGACAGCATTTCGTACAAAGCGAGGTAGTTGCTCCAGGAGCTAGTTAGATATAGATAACGTGACCTGAAACTGTGCAAGCCGCACAGTGGGGCCAAAATACTATTCGTGGAATTGTAAGTTTGAATAATTTTCGACATTCGTTGGACGCACACTGTGCTGTCGATCATGAGTAAGGATGAAACAGCAATGCTTCCCAGCTTTTCAGCACAAATGGACGAAATTAACAATCAAGCCTCCTCAGTCCAAGGCTCCGAGTAGTCAAGGAAACCAAGCGGCAACACAATATTTAAAACGCATTGATGAGAAAGCTGTTTGAACAACCCTGGTCACTGAAAAAGCACTGTGGAAACAGGCCATGCAGTAAGCAGAGGACCTGAACTACTTAAAACATTGGTTAGGGTTTTTAACAACAGCTACCGGTGCCGAGCGTTGAGAGGAAAAACTTCACTCAGCAGATTGGATGCCTTACATAAGTGGCATAGACGCACAGAATAATGAAATTCCTATTATCGGTGGGATATTTATTAACTTGGGTGAAATGTTTCCTCTTTTGCCGAAGGACAACTCCTATGTTGAAAATGATTGTTCGGCTGTAGTACCCTTTCGGTGCCTAATTGCCATGTCACCAGAAGGAAGCACGAGGGCTGGGATACTGCCAGGTTGCCCAAGTCTAGACAGGGGCAGTCACCGGGTTCGAACCACGAACCTTCCGGTCAGTAAATTTGCCCTTTAATTACTTGGACCATCTCACTTCCAACCGCTATGGGCTAAAGAAAATCGAACAACAGTGACACGACGGCTTCTAAGTGATATACCCACCGCCTAAAAATCAACAACCGTGTAGGTTTCGATAAAAAGCTGGATCGAGCTGCTGTTGAACGACAAGTTAAAGACCAAAGGCCAGAAGTTCCATGTGTCTTTAGATAATTGCATCGGTCACTCAGATGGGAGTACCAACCTCCCCGAAGTGTTGTTCATCTCCGGAACAAAACACACCAGAAACAGTATAACCCAAACCCTAAAACTGGACTGCAGGAGATAAATTCTGAGACACCTAAGGTTGGACTCATGGGCTGAAACGAAATTTAGCACAGAGACTTATGGCTGAGACAACAAACAAGTTCCATTTCAGATGCTATTGGAAAGTCGGTGATCACGAGGGCCACTAAGTAAATACAGAACAACTTTTGAAGTTAATGCTGTCATGGATCACAATAATGGAGTCACCTGAAGTAAAAAAAAACCCAGCACTACATGAAAACTGCGGACTACTGAGAATTTCCAGAATATATTGAGTGGAAGACGAAGCAGAACAATAAAACTTCAAATCTACTTGGGCAGGTTCCCGGAACAGGACAGAATGTACACGAGTATACCTGAGCACGTTGGTAGCCCTCAATATGAGTGACCGATGACACAAAAGGGAACGGGATAAGTAATGTAGAACAAAATATTCTCTCAAAGAATCACGATACTGCGAGCGTTCAACATAGAGATCTACTGTTGAAATTAGTTCGGTTTAGCTCGAACTACCGAATGGGCACTATTATCGAAGCAAGAAATAATTTGAGTGTGCCCGAATGGAACGTCTAAATGTTTCTCTTGAAAATGGGACGCTGATTTGTGGATTGAAATTTCAGGGTGGACAACTATAATCGCAAAGTGGAAAGTTGGAACCCCAGTGCATGGGTGGCTTTCTAACAATAATGAACTAATAATCAACGTACCATGCTACAAGCCTTCTGAAGGATTTTAGCGAACCAAAAGTGTCTATCATATGATACCCCAACAAGCGAAACAAAATCTTGTAAGCAGCATTAACACCCAGCATAATATTTACTCAAAACAATAGGTCCCTTCAGCCGAAATTACTAAAACTGCAACTACGTAGCGAGACAAAGCGGAATCGTGCTACGGGTGGAGGGAACGTTAACCGATCCGTGAACAGTGACATGTAATAATCAGGCACAGCTGTCTACGGCTATGCTGTAATCGGTTGTAACTTCGTTCAGCATTGAATAGGTAACTCGATATTCGGGAGACAGCCGACCTGGTGGATGAGTTGATTGTGACATGTTCTTGTGGGTGCATCGACTCCCTTGTTCCGCCGATTTAAGGTGGACATTCAGGGGCGTCTTTAACTGCCAGAAAACCAATTGGATGGGCGTGAGAGTTGAGCGTAAACTATGCACCATATAGTGCATCCATCACCCAGTTTCTGTAACGCATACGTTTAAGGAAAGGATTTATATCTGAGACCACCAGTTGGATGCATAGGTCAGCATCGTAACGACAAGTGCCTTCGTTACCCGGTGCCCCCTAGTGCACATATTCGAAAAAGAATGAGTGGCAGTCAGAGTGTCAGCCGGCTCTATGCGTGGGTCGAAAGCGACTTCGTCACCTTGCTTCAGCTGTTGAAATGAGTAATGTGTTACGTCTAGACAACAAAATGTCTGGAGGTTGTTCGTTGGCAAATAACGAACAGTTCATGTATCGTCAAGCATAAATTGTTTGATGAACCAGTGAAAAACCAGAAAGCATTTTCCAGGAACAGCTCATCCAACATACAATAGTGCCCCAGGGAAAAATAAAACAAATGGTCCCGGAGGGCACTGCTTATTGAAGGGGACATACGACTAATTATGAACCCACGTACGGAATACGCCAGTTGAAATGCAAGGGAAAGCAATGGATGTTAGATTGTTCTCCGTGCAAAGCTGGAGAGCTCGTTCATAAGTTCCTTGAAGATGACGTGGATTCTCCCCATATGGACCGACACAGTGTATGATAACTGAAAATTGAAACAAAGCGATAGAAAAAATGCATCAATGGGGCTGGTCCGCACGCGTAAAACAATGGATGAAATATGAACAGATGGAAGTCTGTGAGTTCGTATGGTAATCTCTCATCTAGGAGATAGACCCCGGCGTTAGCGAAAAAACCTATGATTCACAACATATCTAATTGACTCCACTACAACGGGAATGTCTCAAGCTACTGACCCAGATTTGTTGATCGACTATCGTGACATGGAAAGCACGGCTGACACAGTGTACCACTAAATCAGTGTATTCTGATTGTCTAGTATGAACATTGATCAGGCGAAAATTTGGCCTAAGGCTCGCAGAGTCCCATTTGTTGGAATAAGTGATTGGGGTATTCGGATCGGATGGGCCAAGTTTCACGACCACAGAGTAGAACTGCTCTCTCGGTCGTTTTGTTCGGTGATATTCGTTTCTGACATCAAAGATGACACAAGTCGGCGACGATTACCCATAATTTGGTGATGCGTGCATGAGCTCGACGGTTACAGTACAGTCACAGCCTATACAGTTGTCACGATAAGTGGACCCATAGAGAACTCAAGCTCTTCATTTTTGAAGTTTCAACGAGATACAAGGAGCGGGAAATGCTAAAATAGGACCTTTTACTTCAAAGGTGAGAACTGAATTCCAAATATAAGACTGCTTCCGATATGGCCCAAGTGGTTAGAGCGCGAAGTTATTGACCGGAAGGTCAACGGTACCAACCCGAACTCTGCCTCTCGACTTCCTCTGCCTAGGCTTGGGCAACTTGGCAGTATCCCAGCCCTTTTTGGATGTTACTTCACAATATGAACAAGGTGAAACAAAAATACTGACCAACATCATTTAACAACGGTTATGAGGGCTCACCTAAACCTGCTGCCCAGTAGCGCCTCAGGAAAGAGAGACATACTCGTACGTCAGAAACTGAGGGATGGCCTAAATTCACAGCCGAAGGTTTGAATGAAAGATATGGACAGAGGAACAGATGGCCACTTATTATTGTGAACATTCATCTACACAGTTAAGTGGCTGGCTCTCGTTTTGTACTAGGAGATAGACCCTGGCGTTGGCGAAAAAACCTATGATTCACAACCTATCTAATTTACTCCACTACAATGGGAACGTCGCAAGCTACTGACCCAGATTTGTTGATCGACTATCACATAATACCGTGACATGGAAAGCACGGCTGACACAGTGTACCACTAAATCAGTGTATTCTGATTGTCTAGTATGAACACTGATCAGGCGAAAATTTGGCCTAAGGCTCGCAGAGTGCCATTTGTTGGAATAAGTGATTGGGGTATTCGGATCGGATGGGCCAAGTTTCACGACCACAGAGTAGAACTGCTCTCTCGGTCGTTTTGTTCGGTGATATTCGTTTCTGACATCAAAGATGACACAAGTCGGCGACGATTACCCATAACTTGGTGATGCGTGCATGAGCTCGACGGTTACAGTACAGTCACAGCCTATACAGTTGTCACGATAAGTGGACCCATAGAGAACTCAAGCTCTTCATTTTGAAGTTTCAACGAGATACAAGGAGCGGGAAATGCTAAAATAGGACCTTTTACTTCAAAGGTGAGAACTGAATTCCAAATGTAAGACTGCTTCCGATATGGCCCAAGTGGTTAGAGCGCGAAGTTACTGACAAGAAGGTCAACGGTACCAACCCGAACTCTGCCTCTCGACTTCCTCTGCCTAGGCTTGGGCAACTTGGCAGTATCCCAGCCCTTTTTGGATGTTACTTCACAATATGAACAAGGTGAAACAAAAATACTGACCAACATCATTTAACAACGGTTATGAGGGCTCACCTAAACCTGCTGCCCAGTAGCGCCTCAGGAAAGAGAGACATACTCGTACGTCAGAAACTGAGGGATGGCCTAAATTCACAGCCGAAGGTTTGAATGAAAGATATGGACAGAGGAACAGATGGCCACTTATTATTGTGAACATTCATCTAGACAGTTAAGTGGCTGGCTCTCGTTTTGTAGTAAATTTACAACGTTCACCCCAAAAAGACGGTTTTTTTTGGGCCCGTCCCGTGTATTAGATGAGACGCTTTTCGAGCACCTTCATTGCCCATGAGGTTGGGATGACTGAAGATCTGGTTGTCTATCATCAAATCAACCTCCAGGTCGTCTATGGTGTCCGAGATGTGAAAGAAGACAATTTCGACATCCGCACAGATCTTTCAGCAGGTGCACTGCATTAGGTGATAATCATGGAGCTAGCAGTGCCTAGATAGCAAGGTGATGACTATCATGAAGGCTCGTCGTGCTGCAGTGCAGAGTCAGAGTTTAGAACTCAATGAAATGTGACGCCATCCAATCCAAAGCATTGTCGTTCCCAGGGCGAGATAGCTCAGTGGTTAAAGCGCGAATTTACTAACCGGAAGGTTTGCGGTTCGAACCTAACCTCTGCCTCTCAACTTCCCCTGTCAAGGCTTGGGCAACCTGGCAACAGTCCAGCCCTCATGTTTCCTTCCGGTTGCATGACAGTTATGCACCAAAAGCGTGCTACAGCTGATGTTTCCTTCCGGTTGCACGCAGTTATGCACCAAAAGCGCGCTACAGCTGAATGATTGTGGTTTCCCTTACAACGTTCGCATAAATGGAACGAAGCGGAAATGATGGAGGGAGTCATCATCAAGACAGTCAAGTGAGCATGATTTTTTAACCTTATCGCGATTTGCCCCACATTTAAGTACGAACTCAGGCTGCTCCACAACTGCCGACGCAGGCGCCAAGTGCAACGTTAAGCCAAAAATAGAATAGAATAAAATACAACACATAACAGACCGGCAAAATCTATGAATAACGTGTCATGCAGTCACGAGAAAGGGGGCATAAACCAAGCAGATAGGCTACCCAGAGCACCAAGCTGGACCAACACCCCTGGATCCTCCTATACATGCGAGATTTTCATCATTCCCAACCAGGTTGAAAATGTTTAATGACCGACCAAACATCGAGATCAGACACAGATAGTTTGTCATTTGTCCACTCCCTTCAGGTTGAAACGAACTAACGGCGGGTGTCACAAATCCAGAATACTAACCGTGTGCGAACTTACATTTGGCCGGTAGGGCAAATCCTTGAGTGATTTTCGCACTACCGGTTGGGCAGCCGTTCAGAGCCATGCAAGCCGAGTGAAGTTGGTTAGAACCAGCCGCCCGGTGAATAGCTCCATCCACACCACCGCCCCCACGTAGATGCTTGTTCGCCGCGTTGGCGATAGCATCCAGCTTCAGTTTTGTTATGTCTCCACGCCATAAACTAATGCGCATGCCCAGAGCCGAGGGTGCATGCCCATTTGCAGCTTCTTGACCTGCAACAGCATATGGTAGCTAACTTAAAGAAAAGACACAAGGACGGTGCAATCAAGCTGGAGCAATAGGCCCTCTCGTAGACAAAATTTTGGAAAAGGGAATCTCACTGCTGACCAGAAGAAATCTGGTTTACAAAATTCAACTGGATTGCCGGAAAATGTGGTGCACAAGGAGGGAACTTTGTATGGTTGGTATGTTGAGGCGTGAGTTTCCGACCGGTAAATCTGTGGTACGAATCCAACCCGAACTTCTCAATCAAGCTTGTCTGGGTTTGAAGGTGTGAGGAAGCTAAAGGATATTCGGAAAAAGACAAAGGTGGCCCAGCAACGAAGCAGATGATCAGCTGTTCCAGGGAAGCTACCACTCGTGTTCACCATCTTTCCTCGACTAAGTTTACCCAAATTCAAAGGGGGAACTTATTGCTGGAAAATAAGTCCAAAATACCCCGGGACACGTCGAAAAACAGCAGATGCAAGTCCAGTTTTAGAACTTAAACCACGACGATGATGGTGACATTGATGACCTTACACCAAGAGACACTAATAAAGCAAACAGGTTCAATTCCAGTCTAATGAGCGTCTCAGACTCGCGTCCTGGCAAGCGTACCCACTGAAGAATTCGCATTTAAAGCAGACACAATTATCAAAATCATTATTCTGATGGAACATTCCAGATGCCTTAATATGCTCGGTAGTGGGTGCGATGGGTGCCGGCTCGACCAACTCATACTCTTCCCGAAATGTTCCCGAGAAAGCAGTCTATGCTGAGGAATTCCAATTTGGATCTTTTGTCAAACAAATTGCAAGCAAAAGAGGTATGAAGACATCGAAACTCCTTACACAGAGGATCAATAAGGACCCTGTGGTGGAATTTCACTAAAACTTGGAGGAGCTGCTTGCCGTCACAATGAGTACGTCCTTGGAGAAAATTCGACACACCAAATGTTTGCAGTTCATTCAAAATGGCTCTACGATGTGGCAGCAAGTAGGCAGGTTGTGCTAAGTGGAGTTCGCGTTACAAAACACATACTGGCAAAGAATCCATCTAGAAAAATAGAACTTTTCACCATTTCCGGTATTACAGGAGGCCACTACTAGTCGTGGGGACGGGAATACGGAATATGAGAACCGGAGCCAGTGACAGAGGATGAATATCCGAAAAGACTGGATGACAGTCGAAACCACACACTCCACGAATTCTGTGCGGTAACACCAAGACCAACTAATCATATTTCTGAGACAAACTGTTCACCAACACCACAGTGGTCGCGAGTTAGCGTCCCCGCCGGGTGGCTACAGGCCAGAGCGAATGAATTGAAGCAGTTACATGATACTACCTGTTATAACGTCCTCGCATTTTTCACAAGACGTTAAGACAAAATCCCTAAGATAAAAAGATAGGAATCCTGAATTGTATCGAGATCAGTACAAATATGAATGTTACTAAGTTATTATCTCAAGAGGGCCTTCATACCCTTAAGTAAAAACGGAAAAGCACATAACAGAACACCTTAACTTGACATCTGGTCAATTTCTGACTTCAACGTGATACCAAGTTTCCTCTCATGTAAGCTCAAGAATTTTGCTGAGATTTATTTCGAAACCTTTGTGAATTCTTACCCAGAAGATATAATTTTTCCTCTTCCCTTGGTCTAAAAACAGGAAGGCTTCATCCAGGAGCGTGAATAAAAATTAGCATCATACTCACTATATATAATCGGTAAAATCCACCCTATGAAGACAAAGTAGCCTGTGCCAACTTTAAACACCCGCCACGCAGTAAATTTTCATTACAGTGGATAACTCTACTTACCTTCGGGAGAGTCGTTCCATGGTGGAATGTCATGCAGTGTGACTACTGACATTTTGGAGTGGGCTTTCCGTTGAAGTGGAGAAAACTCTACACCAAACCAAGTAAGTTTGTACGTTGAAATTACGTTTTTGGGATAGACCGCTGGATCCCACAGAAAAACGGCTTGATATACCGACAACGAAGGTTCGAGGAAAGACCCGCTGTAGGGAATGAATAAATTTTAGAATGGATCTCGAAACAACGATGCCAACAAAGCGTTGTAGGCTTTTCTCATTCAGTGTTTCCATCAGAAAGAGCTTTACCTTGGTGGGCGGGGCGTGCGCCCCCCATAGATCATTGAGTTGTGGTAAGCGGCTATTAAGTCTCTCATAATAACAATAATACGTACGTAGTTGCCAAAGGAAGCGCGGGGATGGGATACTGACAGGTTGTCCATGCCTAGAGAGGAACGGAGTTGGGTTTCTACCCCGGACCTTTCGCTTAGTAGGTTCGATCCACAATCACTGAGTTATCTCGAGCTCATGTCTCTCACAACAGGTTAGTCAATGATGAGAAATAAGACCAACAACCTCAAAGAATTACAGACTGAGCTGTTGGAACAGGTAGGACGACATAGTCCTTAAAAGTTGGACTAGCCTGTAGTTTTCTGCCAGCCAAACCTGACTTTCAACCTCTGACTCGGAAGCGTTAATCCAGATGTCCAAGCACCCTGCTATTCAGGTATACGCAGCTTGGAAGTATGTACACAACCAGGAAATAAAAACAGTGGACAGAAGTACTGTCATACAGACTATTTATAGGAAGACGCGTGACGAGGCCAGAAATTTCGAGGAAATGCACAGAAGCTATATTAACTAGTCCGCAAAAGCAGAGCTTCAGTGACTATCTGAGTAATTGCCCTCAATAGAGAACCTGTACACAATGACTACTGGGATATCCACATCCTATGGAGAGACGGCTATCAGAGGACGATTATGCGCAGTCTTCATGATTACCGACTGAATATCTTGCATTTATTTGAGAACAGACTACCGAGCTGAGGCATCATACGAATCTATCTTGCAGCGGGAACGTAAATAATATAAATACAATTGTTCAGCTGTAACATCCTTCCGGTGCCTAGCTGCCATGCCACCCGGAGAAAGCACGAGGGCTGGGATACTGCCAGGTCGCCCAGGCCTAGACAGAGGAAAACTGGTGGCAGAGGTCGGGTTCGAAACACGGACCTTTCGGTCAGTAAATTCGCGCTCTAACCACTTGGGCCATCTCGCCCCCGCGGGGACGTAAACCTAATAAGCTCTCCACTGCGGCGGTCCAGTGGACAACAGGGGTCTTGACGGGGTCGCCTTTGTCATGAGTGACCATGCCCACAAATTGCCTTCATGTATTTGAACCGCATTTGATCTAAGACTGCGGGAACTCGATTGGGAGGTACTCGCTGAATTTGAGTGCAACTGCTGGGTACACAAACACCCCCTCAGCGGTGTAGAGGTTTTGCGAGTTAGAGAGCATAACGGATGGGATGTTTGGATGCGATATACTGTCAATCTCAGGCATCTAGAGTGCTCGTGAAAGCTGACCAGGTGGTCCCATCCGCCACATGTCGAGTGGGTGCCCTCTATGGCGGCGATGTGAAAACGATGAACATTAATCGACTGCGCTCCACTGGGCGACTTGTACGCACCTCCAGCACCTTAGATGACATTTGTTAATAGGGTATTCGAATCATGGACACACTCTAACCCGAACCGACTATGCCCTATACAGTCTCGACACCATCAGTGGCGGAAGGATGTCGGTCGTATCGAGGAGCTGAAGCGAAAAAAATGAGAGGATTAGATTATATCCTCACGAAAGAGAGCCGAATTTATCTGCAGTAAGAGAATCCACATCAACCTTTGAAAAAGATCAACTTTCCACTAATACTGGACCAAACAAATGTCTATAACAGCATAACGACGCGACTGACAGGAAACCGCTTGTGCTCCAACGGGAGTTATGAGGTTTTATTGGATGATCAGTAGTCCATAATTAAGGCATTTGTCCAAATTTCAACGAACTGTCTTGGTTGCACGATGCAACGGCACAAAAACTGGACTTCAGACAAACATTGCTATTCCAAATCGGCACTACAGGCATGTCCTAGTGTCGCTCGGGTATGTTCAGTCACCAGCGATTCTGAGTTGTTCACAGGTATCATCCTACGCAGACCCCCTACCCCTCTTGAGCGGTAGAGCCATGAAAACTAAGCTGGGTCAAGGGTACACTGACCACATTTTAACCTCATGACAACTGCTCGAACACCGCCACACTCTCAGAGCACGAATTTACCGACCGGAATGTCCGCGGTTTGAACATGACCTTCGCCTCTCGGCATCCCTGCAGAGGCTTGGGCAACAGACAGTATCCAAGCCCTCATGCTGCATACTGGTGGCATGGCAGTTAGGCACCGAAAGGTGCTACATCTGAACGATTTCGATTTTTTAAGCCTCGACGCCGTCTGTCAAGCCGTTTTCCATGTCTGCACCCTGTAGCAAGCTTGTCAACAAGCCGCAACTGCTCTCACACTGGACTTGCTTGGCATTGGTGTGTGCTGTGTATCAAAAACAAGAATTCAAGATACAGACACGGTGGTTGAGTGAAACCGCCCCATCGCTCTCACGCGATTCCGGCTACTCACCTCTGGCGATCCAGAGACTGCTGCGGCAGGATGTGAAGGGGTTGGCATTGCCCCAAGTCACCAGGCGGAGGGATCGTTGCCCCAGTGGATATCCATTGGCAGAAAACTCTGTGCGGTCTGAATGATGTGTTGCGGGGAACTCAAAGCTCAGATATCATCGTGGTTGCCGGGGGTATGGATGCACAATGGGTAGGCTTAGATCATCTGGGACTCAGTTATGGAATGGAATCGGTACATACGAAAAATGATGAACAAGTACTTCAAGTGTTCTTTGGCACAACCACTAACCCACCGCTACGCACAACTACGCTCCCCAATAACGCACTGATGGTGGCACCTCAATTGGTGATGAAACGTTTGCAATCAAATTGCCCAGCTCAGCAAACAAGCCAACGACCATCTACCCTACCTGAGCCCGTCACGAAGAGACTGGACCTTACCGCTTCAACAGTGTGCTGACAGCAGGCTGTTTTATGCAGTACTGACTTCCGAAATAGCCGAAGTCCTTTGGAATGATGGTGTTTTCCTAAGCGTGCAACTTAAGGACTCAAATCACCCAGCGTCATCAGTTACCGATGGCGCGGACCAGTAACTGGCAGCCTCTCGTTTGGAACACATTTTTGGATCCCGACAACGCAACCGTCCGGAGTCGCCAGTCCTCTTGTTTTACAGAGCCACGTAGAGGAAGGAGAAATGCCTTTATAAGTGAAACCGGTAGAATGTCAGACGAATTAACCGGAGTCACATTCTGGAGTCTCTTCGAAATACTCCATCTTCTGACATGAATTCATAATGGGACGAGATCGCCACGTCTCTGCACGGCTCCTGAAGTAATGGGTATACGACCGAACAGCGGAACTACTTAAAACTCGGAAAAATATCCAAGCCTGTCCCGAACATAACTTGGCTACCGATCGGTGGCCCACTCCTCTCACCGAAAAGCGGACTTAAAACTCGAAAAAATAACCAAGCCTGTCCCGAACATAACTTGGCTACCGATCGGTGGCCCACTCCTCTCATGAGAGACAGAATTCTTCTGTCTAACGCAGTGGACTTATTTCGCTCGGTCCAAACGTTTCCGAAGACTGCGCACAGTGAATTCAGATTGATTTTCCGCATGGGTGGTAGCACAACCAGAGGCTGTCTGGAGGACAGCCACTCCCAATAACCGGTCATCACGTCAGCTGAGCACGTGCCACGTGTGGGCTACGAACCAAACTACCCCATGCCCTGATTGGTCAGAACCTCAGCCAATCTGGATCGAGCCCCTTTAGCTCGACGCATCTCGCCCCCTCCCAAGATTCTTGCATGACTTTGTGGAACATTCTGTGATTGCCCTATAAGTACGCTTGTATCGACCCTCCTTAGTCTGCATAAAAGGCTGCATGAAGCTCCATGCCCTATTTCTATACAATGGTGAACGGGGCAGGAATCCAAGGACCGACGCAGAGCCGCACCGTTGCCAGTAGGTCACAGCGGACAGGAATATAAGTGTTGACACTAACTCTTCACTTACGTACGGCGTCAATTTTTATCTAGTTATATTTTACGCCTTAGAGTGGAAAGAGATGAAATAATTGGTGGGGCAGGAGACAACGTACTGACCTATTGCAAACACTTTGAGGTGACAACAAAACTAGGTGCTCACTAGGAGACTGTGGAGGAAAGCTGGCGTCAAGAGAACCACCAACATCAAATGGAGCCCATTAGCCGCACAATGCTCTCAACTTCAAAACCTTTACGAATAGAGCAAGACTTGTTGCGCTAAAATGTTGCGGCTTGTTGTGTACATGCTCAAACCAAAAAACACCCTGACCTGCTTTAATATTTCTGCAGCCACCAAATTTCATTGTCCACTGGAAAAATCATAACCCCGGTAGAAAAGTGCGGCAGAATAATTCTTCAGCGTCTCTGAGACCTCGACATGCCCAAACGGGGCCCACAAGTTCGGACTGGTACTGTCAGCTCAATTGACTGATTAATTTAGTTCATCAGGGACATGTCAAAGCCTTCGAAAATTCCATTCCACTTTGCGAATACTGAGCGGCGACACCAAACGGTCATCATTTCTTGCAATTTCTCTAGCCAGGTCCAGGACGGGTCATGGGACCCTCATGCTTGAAGGCGGGCTCTCAAAAAACACCCAAGCTCTGGGATGACTCCAACATCCTGCCAAGTCATATATTGTCCATCTCACCGCTTTGATTATTCTGTTAAAAACACAGAGACAGCGTTTGTACGAGCTAGCGTGTGACCAAACTACTATATTTATTGCACCGAAAGTATCCCTGATGCACCTGGTGCAAAGAATATCCGCGTTCCAAGCGACCCGTTAAAATTGGTTGCCGCAATCCGACACCAGAAACGGTTTAGGCATCAGAGCTATAGGGCCTAAAGACGCTCTAAATCGTCCATCCGCAAAGACCGGCCTTCGCAACCATACAGCACAGTTCTTAGTGTGGCGACACTTGAGGCCAGTAATGTTCCCTTTTGGCACCTCAAGTACGGTGAATTGACTAACGTGATTATGGCCTTGAGATTAGCTCACCGACCTCAGCAGACGCAACTATGCTAATAACACCACCGAGGTGTGTAAAGTTCTCTACAACGTACATTGCTCCGCCTTGAATTTCAAGGGGTATGTTCGGAGACTTACGGTTTCGATGCGCGATTCCGCACTTTGAGGGGATGGGACGAAGGCCAAAAGGCCCCTCGCCGGTGGTTCTGAGCCTGGCCCTTAATTCAGGAAAAAAAGAGCAGCGTTGCTGTTTGTATGTAGCTGGATTGGCCTTTTTCCGGTTGTCACTTGTCTCACAACACCAAGAAATACAAGCAGACGACAGCTGTCCTCCCGTTTGTTCCAAAAAAAGAATATATAAAAAACATTCATGCATGGGTGGCCTGAGAGTGCCTGTGAGGCTTACGGCTAACGTCAACGCGCAAGGTGTTGCCACTCTCGTCTTAGTGGGGTCACACCAACCCTAATCCACTTCATCACTCAAACATAGCACACATG